GGCGGCGCGCAACACCTTCCTCGAGGAGCGAGGAATGTGGGGAATGGGTGGGTCTCCTAAGTTTCGGGGTGGGGGTGGACAGCCAGACTGCCACTATCCCAAAGGAGCGGGTCGGCCCCGGACCTGCCAAAAAGACAGTCTCAGCCCCCCACCCCCGTGCCCTGGTACCTTTCTGGCGCCGCGTTCTGCGAACTCGCGAGCGAGCTGGCGCCCGATGCCTCTGCCGCCGCCGGTGATGAGGACGTTCTCCCGCGACAGGTCCCGCAGCTTGGCTGGCAGCACCAGCCCGACCGCCGCTTTCGCCACCAGATAGATCATCTGCAGAGGCAGCAGCACCAGCGCCCCCAGCCATTTCCACACCATCCTCCGCGCCGCGGAGCCGGGCGAGGGGCGGAACCCCCCGGACCAGGCGCACGGGAGTTTAAAAACAAAGCGCCCCAAAACAATAATAAATTAACCGAGCAAGGGGGAGGGAGGCGTCCCACCTGGCTACTCTTGAAATCGCCTCTTCCCAAATGCAAAGCACCGGGTGAGAAAAAAGGAGAATAAAAAAAAAAGACAGAGAGAGACATATAAATCCTCCTCGGGAGGAGAAAAAGCGTCCCCCCAAAACAGTCGGGACGGCAAGAGGTGTCGGGGAAGCCGGAGGGGGAAAGTTCTAACAAGAAGTTTCTTGCCCCAGCAGCCGTTCCGGCTGGGGAATTCTCAGGTAATGTTTACAGGCTGACAGAGGAGTTTAGGCAGGGGAAGGAAAAAAAAAAAAACAACAAAAAAAAAACAGGCACCAACCACACGCGCGCACCCGGCTTCAGCCCCGCGGTTTCAAAGTGCAAGATTAAAAAAAAAAAAAAAGCTGTTTCCAAATTGTAGCGCCCCCCTACCCCTTCTCCAGGGAAAAAAAAGTGGGGGGGAAAGTGCTTGGAGCTCCCAATTTCAGCTTGCCAGCGGCTCCCGACTCGTGGCTATTCTTGGGTCGGGAAATTGCTTAAACGCGTCTGACTGCCAGCAGCGCGCAGAAGTGGGGGGTCCGGGTGTCAGTTTCTTTCCGCGCACGGCTCGCCCTCGCGCGCGCTCGCTCTCTCCGGCTCCCTCCCGCCCTCTCTTTCAGCAGAGGCTGGGTGTTGCCGCGCGATCCGGCTCCCTCTCTCCCTGGTTAGCATTTATTGCCTTCTTTTTGTCCTTTCCAACTTGGGGAGAGCCCGGGCGCCCGGCGCGCGTGGATCGGACGCCCCCATCTGCGCCGCCTTATTCACTCGCTCCCGCGGCGGCAGCAGCAGCGCGAGGGAGAGGGAGGCCCTCCCCCCCATTTTTTTAATACCCCATTAAGTCTGATTGACAGTTAAAGTTGTTCCGAGGCTTCACTCCAGTTCCTCCGAGTGGCTGCCGCGGCCTCCCCTCCCCCCGCGCTGTCTCGGGGCGCGCGCGCGGGCGCGCACTCGGGCTCGCTCCGACTCGCGCTCTCCCGGGGCTGGCTCCCCTCTCGGCAGGCCGGGGCCTGCCCGCGGTGCTCCAGAGGGCTCACAGCCCGAACTCGAGCGCGCTGGAAACGACTCCTGCTAACCGGCTCCTTCCTGGAGACATTCCTTCCCGCCTGGGACGCGGCCTCCCGGCCAGGTGATCGCCCCTGCAGGAGGGACAGGCCCGGCCAGGTGATCGCCCGTGCAGGAGGGACAGGCCCCGGGACTCGCGCATGCCTTGATCCAGCTCAGTCGCTCAGGGTTTATTTCAGGTCATTTGGTCAATCCCTGCCTCCAGGTAGGCCCGGGAAGCCGCCCGACCTTTGCCCAGACGGCCTCTGTCCTCACTTAGCGCCTTCTGTCTGACCTGAGCCCCTCACCTGGTGGGGTGGCGGTGAGAGGGGTGGAAATCAGCTGGGGAGCCAGATTTGGCTTTGTGGGGAGGGGGTGGGCAGGGTAAAGGAACCTCTAAGGTGCCAATAAAATCCCCAGGAGATTAGCAGGGAGCATATTTATTGCTCATTGGGCTAGAATTACCTTGACTGACAGCAATTTCCTTAATAACAAAAGCCTGTAAACAAAGCGTCCTCAACCCGTATCCCTGCTCTGTGCACACAGCCGCTTCTCTCCTAGGCTCTCCTTGGCTGCCCTGTGGGGACACCCACCCAGGAACCTCCTGCCCTCCCCGAGCAAGAAGGTCTCTCCAGTGGAGAGTGGGCGCAGCTGCTTAGCTGTCTGCTGCGGGAGTCTGGAGGTGACTCACTCACTAGCAGCCCCAGTTAAAAGTGCAGATGGGACTTGCCTCCCACTGCCCCTGACCAGTCCAGGCCAGGAGGAGACAGTGGGCAGCGAGCTGCCCTGTGCTCTGGGGCAGCAGATCAGAGTGTGGGCCTCACTGCCTCCAATCTGCTGGCAGGGCAGGGGAGGGGAGGGGCGTGAGGGGGGTGGGGGGGGCGCTGGTTAATACCTGACCTGCTAGTTCTGCTGAGGGTTGGTTGACAAAGTTGCTTTGAGTGTGGGGGTGGTGAGGGTTGGGGGAGGGCTCACCTTCCCGGCTGCAGAGACTACAGTTGGGCAGCTGAGGACTGTCCTTCCAGACGAATTGGGAAACTCATTATCTGGAAAGCTGCTGGAGGTCAAGAGGGTGGAGAGGTCTTAGAAGAGGGGGTGCCCACCCTGGGGTTTATATGCTGACACCTACTATTTCCACTGACTGCAGGAGAGGCAGTATTCTCCCCATTTCCCACCTGGCCAGGAAGTGCAGGATGGAGAGAGCCACTGCCAGAACAGGGGCCACTCATACCCCCACACCCCACTCCTCCTACGCCCACCGACCCCCCCCCCCTTGCTTTGGCAGAGGGAAGAAGATGGCCGCTAGCGGGGCTCCCTCCTGCCTTCTTCCAGATACAGGACTTCATCTGACGCCCAGGACATGCCCGAAGGCCTGACTCCATCTAGGTGACCGCCTCCTCCCACCTTTGAGGGCTGTAAAAGCGGGGAGGCAGGGGGCCTTGGCACCCCCCAGCCAGCGGCGCAGCGGGTGCCAGCTAGGCCTGCCAAGGAGGCCACGGGGCAAGTCCTGGCAGGCAACCGGCCCGAGGGAGCCGGCGCTCATCCCTTATCCTCGGAGCCGCCTAGTGGCAGGGAGGCGACACTGCGCCTCGGGGCGCCCCGCCTCCCTCGGGCTTGGGACTGGCCAACTCCGCAGCCCTCTCCTTCCCTGCCAGGCCCTTCTCCCTGCCCGAGGTCGGCACCGCAAGCCTAAGTGGACCTGCAGAAATCACACCGCTCCTCCCCATGCATCTGCTGCTTTATGGAGGAGGGAGCAGGGGCACAGAGATGTTAAACAGCGCAAAAAGAGCAGAATGTTCACACCTTAGTCTCCTGGTTCCCTGCTAGGTACCCCCCCACCCCGCCCCCAAAGGTGCCCGCGGGGTCCTGCCTACTGTTCTTACACGCGGTGTGTCTTTGGGCTAGAACATGGGTGGTGGGTGGGCAGAGCCTGCGGACCCCAAGGGACCGTCACTGTATCAGGCCCCTTCCATTTGACACACTGCCACACAGGTGTACGCCTGACCTTTCCAGGCCAGTAGTGAAAGTGATGGGGTGAAGTAAGAGTAAAAAAGAGCATGTCAGGCACTGCTCAAAAGGGCTGGGATTGGACTGGCAGGGGAACAGACCCCTTTTTTCTATTTGTTGCACTTTCAGGATGAGGGTTTTATGGGGCCCTACGCTCCCCCAGTTGCCTTCCATCATCAGATGTCCAGAGCGGTGCCGTCTGTCACCTCTAGGCTTCCCCTGCCACAGCTCTTTGGAAGATGAAGTCGAGGGGGCACTGGGCTGGGGGGGGGGCACAGTTCAGCCATCTGCCTGGGGGTTTCAGTGAGAACAGCCTGGGACAACCCCTCATCTCTGTTTTTCGCTTGGTCCCCGCCCCCCCCACTCCTTGGTTTCCTTTGGGGCAAGGGGTGGGGAATTTAATTCCAGGGTGAAGTTTGAAATTTCACATCCCAGCCTGGGGAGAGGGCCCCACAATTCCTCCCCCTCCTGAAAACGTGAAAGGAGGCTTTGTGTGCCTGAGGGAGGACCAGGGAGCTGTGGCCCCAAGAACTAACTTTTTCCATGACTCAGCTGTCCCACGCGGAGGTGCCGGACCTGCAGGGCAGCCTGGAATGCCGCCCAGCCTGCCGCCGCCTGGCTTGGGGTTACAGATGGTCCCCCAGAGAGCCCCCTGTGACCGTGGGGAGCCTGCCGGCCCTGGATAAGCTAACCCCAGGGCCTGGTTCTGTCTTTTTAAAACTTACGACTGACGCCCAGGGCCAGGTCAGGAACGCCATGGGCCTTCTGCTGGGCACGCCGGCTTGCATGGCACTGCAAACACCCGTGACTTCAAGTCCCGTCCTCTTCTTCCCTGAGGCTTTGCGACGTCGGGAACATCACCTGAGCTCCTGCAGCTAAGCGATAGAGGAGGAATTGGAAGTCTGGTCTGCCACCCTCGAGACACAGGACCACCAGGAAGCTTGTCAGGTGCCCCCTTGGGCTCCTGCTTCCTCATTTGTGAGGACGGGCTGCGGCTGTGACCCCGCCGGGCTCAGTGAGCCCCGTCAGTGATGCCAGCTTCCGTGTGGGGCTGTGTCTAGCCAGGGCCGCTCAGTCCTCCTGGTGGGCCACAGGCGGGACGGCAGGGTTGGCGTGCGTGGCCTGCCTGCACCGCCTCAAATGACTCCCTAGACTGGGCACTTCCTCTTTTCACCCAAGGCTACCCGCTCCTGCCTCTGCACTCTTTCCAAGTGACCCCTGATTTCTTCAGCTCACATGGTCTCCTTGCCAGGAAGCCCTTTCCCTCTTTGAGGAGGGGGCGGTTGTCTCAGGGGAAGACGGCATGCTTGGTGTCAGTGTGACAGGAGCAGGAAGAGGTGGGCGGATGGCCAGGTGTGTGTGGGGGGAGGTGACCACAGCCACCAGGTGAGCCTCGGTGGACAGGGGAAGTTGGGGCCCAGCCCGGGACCTCCGGCAGGTCTCTTCCTTCCCAGACCCCCTTGCAGAGCAGGATTTAACACCAATCAGTTGTCTGTTTGACACATGCAAGCATGTGGTCACACACGCTCTCACACATTCACACTCACACACTCGTCACACGCACATACACACACCCCACCCCTCTGTTTGAACACTGGCTCTTTGCCCTGAGCGAACAAGCTAGCACTGTTGAACAAGGGGGCTGAATTTGGAGAACCTCCTGGCCTGACAGGAACAAGTTCCGTGAAGTTCAAGATGAGCGGTTTTCAAGGTCTTGGGGGAGATGGCCACCGGGTGGCCACGAGCCATGTGGCTGAGCTTGTGCAGGCGCCCTGGGGTGCTTGCCCGGCCTCGAGAAACCGGGGAAACCAGGATCCTGATGGGCTCCAGACGGGGAGCGCCCGGGGGGTGACAGCCTGCACAGCAGGTACGCTTGAGACCTCGTGATGCCCTGCCCCTTTCCTGGGAAACGCTGGCCAGGAGGCGCTGTTCCTTCCTGGGGGGCCTGGCTACCAGGATGGGGTACAGACAAAAAGCAAGCCAGGTAGAATGGCTCCTCAATGGGCAGCAAGGCCCTCGTGGTCAGCCTGCCGTGGAGCGACGTCCTTGTCCTTCGGGTGACCCAGCAGTTTCCCTAGTCGGTGACTGCTGGCGCCAGACAGTGATGCAGGGAGTGGGTCTGTGGCCGGTGCGTGGACACCGGGCCAGCTCGTGTTTATTCTGGCTGCCAGGGCAGCCGGAGCCAAGGCCGGGCACGTGGCAGGAACACAGATGGGGGCAGGGGGTAGGTATGCCAGCCGAGAAAGCGGGGTGACGCCCCCGGGGCCCCTCTCCTCCCCATACTCACCTGCCTCCTTCTGCCTCTGGGCGTGGAGTCCTAGGAGGAGGCTGGCTTTTGGGTTGGCAAGACTGGGTTCCCGTCCCAGCTCGCCCACTCACGGGCTGGGGAAGTTTGGGCAGGCTGCTTGCTTCTCTAAACCCCAGTTCTCTCATGCCTACAGTGGAAACGTGACCGCCAGGAGAGGAGGTGCGTGGGGCCGGATGGGGAGGTGGTGTGCCATGGGGGGTCTCCTGCCTCCTGCCTTCCAGTCCTCGAGGCGTGCACTTGCTGGGGTGCATTACAGGGGCGACTGGGTGAGGCCAGCCCAGACCGGGAACCCTGGGGGACATGCAAGCGCCCCCAGTGCCGCTGCCAGAGGACGGCCCCAAGCTGGGTCTGCCCACAGCAGGGTTATGCTGCAGCTACAGGAAGCAGGGTGGAGGCTGGGGCGCGTGCCGGGAGCAGCGGCTGACAGGCATGG